GCTGAGCCTGGTTAAATAGAAAATTAAATAAATGAATGCCTTTTTTTATTAGAAAAGTATTAATGGCAGTGCAGGGAACTTGAAAAATGGCTGAGGGTAAAACTGTCTTCTAACGCAGGGATGGAGGTGGCCTGGGTGAAGCACAGCCCTTCCTCACTGCCCTGAGATGGCAGGGTAGCACCGGGGATGGCTGTGGCTGCGGACAACATGAAGGAAAAACAGGGCTTTAGTTTACTCTCATCTAGACTTGTTTATTCAAAATTCAACCTTGCCACAGGATCTGACCGACTCTCCTTGTCCTCATGGAGGAAAATGTTGGTACAAGTTTGTTCCTGAAGAGCTCTTCAATCCCTGTCTGAGAAAATAATTAAGAGAGAAAGCCCATTTGGAGAGGTCTCCGGTGTATTACACGGGCAGCATTATGGGAAGTAAATGAGGTGGCACTCCATTCAGCAACTGCACCAACCCTGGACAATGAGTTGGTTTGCAATTGCTACTGCTTCTGTAACATGGGCATAATAAGCAACAAAACCTCACTGCTAATTGCTGAGGGTAGATTCTCTAAGCTACAGGTTAATTCAGTTAGTCATAGAAAACCGCTTGACAAAAAAGTAACATTTATCTGGCAGCTATTGTGAATGTCACCAGAATAACAGACAGCTGGCAGCGTTCTATTATGCAGCGTTTTCTTCTCAGCTACTGTTTTAAAACTGACCTGTTATATGGTTTTCTCTTGGTAATTCTTCTGAATCTAAAAATCAGAATTACGGTCTGACTCTATAAGCTCCTACTTGTAGAGGTAGCCCTTAATGCCACTGAAATCAGGGGAAATAATTTCTAAAGCAGAGTGGTTACACGAAGGTGGTGACTGACCCATCTGCTCCCAGGCAATGACCACAGTTCCCCGGTGGGGGCAGTGGGTGCAGGCCCATCATGTTCCCATTTCTTGAATTCCCTGTGCTATCCTGAGGAAATCCTGCACATTTATTTTATCCAAAACAGAGATTACAGTACTTGTTAGATGAAGACACATTTGCCAAGTGCCTTAAGATCCTCTGATGAAACGCAAATTTGCGGTTAAAAGGATCATGCACGAGGCTGTGGTTTTTCCTACTGTGACTCGCGGACCTGCTGGCGGTTTTGTCCAAACACCACCCTGGTCCCAACAAGCCCGTTTCCATCCGCACATCAATCTGTGTACACGAAACAGCTTCACGGATGTGCCCAGTTTGGCGGGGCAGAGGCCTGTTTTTAAATGCAGCAACCCAGTAAATGATAGGTTACAAAGGACTTCACCAGTAAAGGTAACTGCTTATGCATTTCATCCTATCAAAACTCAGGGATACATTATTACTTAGGGCGAAATCTGGTCCCACTGACGTTCATGGCCTTTTGAAGGTGTTTCTGAAGTTTTTAAATTTTTTTTTGAAGTTCAAGGTCCTTTTGAAGTTTTCCCAGAATGGTTAGGCAAAGACACAGAGAAGGTGAATGAATCCCCTCTATGTTTAAGTAGTCAAATATGCAACAAGTGGTAAACGGAAGAGCCGCCTTCCAGAAAATGAAAGCATTCACCACACCATCGCCTTATTACCTATGCAGAGCTCCAGATAAGTTGACTGCTAGGATGGACTTTGCCTCCTCATTTCCATCCTCACAGGGATGTCTTAACTTGTAATCATTAATGAACTATCCCTGTAATGGAAGGGTGACTGTACAGTCTGGATATCGTTCAGATCTGCTTCGGGAAACCAGAAGTAACTGAAAATGTCGAGCAGGTATCACAAAGCAGCAGCTGATGGCAATTTGGACCTCTTGAAAGAAGCCACTAGGAAAGACCTCAATACTTCAGATGAAGATGGGATGACGCCCACCCTTCTGGCAGCGTACCATGGATATCTAGAAGCTCTGGAAGTCATATGCCGGAGAGGGTAAGTCAATCAGCCTCCATTGCTTAAAGCTTGTGGCTTAAAACTGTAATTAGTGCGTCACCTTTCTAACACCCCTATGACCTCAAACCCAAAAGGCTGAAAATCATGGTCATTTCTTTCAATGCATTGCCAAGAATTGTTTCTCTTCATTCGCAATGGTTTAGGCTCAGAACCTGCCAGCAGGTCTGTACGTGCGGTCAGTGAAGCCGCACCGACACCAGCGGGACCATCTCGTATATGGAGTCTGCAGGGAGTAGTTAGTAGGAGCAGGGCTCTGGGACTTCGCCTCGCTGTAATGGAGGAGAAGTTGGCCAACAACCTTTGATGATAACACACATTTGAAACTGGCTGTAGAGGAATGCATTGTTTGAAACATTTTAAGCAAAAAATCTCTCCCATTTGCCTTGAAAGTGCAGTTAGTAGACACCTGTGAAGGTTTAATGTTTTCCAGCGGCAAGTCACAACCAATAGTTTTGAGACAGTAATATCTAAAATTGTTATTTCTCTGCTTTTTATAGTATTAGCAGCTACCATCATGCTAAAAATGACAATACTGTCTCAGAAGTTGGGGTACAATACTTGCAAACCGGAAAAAAAAAAAGAAACAAGTAAATGAAATTTTCTTACAGGTTTATTTTCTAATAGTAAAATATCTGTTTGGTATCATTTAAATGTACTATATGCTTAAAATGTATTATTGAAACAGTAATTGCATCCCTGCCCTCCGTAGTCTCTTGCTTGGAGCCTACCTTTTAAGCTGTGATTCTGTAATAAGATTTAATAAAAGAAAATCTGCTCTTGTGTAGAGATACAGTTAATAAAATGTTCATTCTGGGCTGAGACGAAGATTAAGTTGACATGTATTTTCAATCATAATAGTTTAAAGAAGATTGGAGGGAAAAGTTGAATAACTATTTGGATGTATCTGAGTTTTCTTTTATTAAAAATAAAATTGAAAATATGGAATAAAAATAGGGTTTTCATAGATTTTCTTTACAGCTCATTGAGTTTAGGTGCGGCAGTAACAACACAATAAAAAAGACCTTTGGACTATGTGGTTATTGCTGTGTCCTCAGGAGAAGCAAAAATAGACAGTTTTTCAACTTGTATAATTAAGGCAGCTCCAAGGAAATATCTGGAATCAATAAAGGTTTGTCCCTGAACACCCAGAAGAGAGAACAACTAGCTAAGGAAGAAATAACTTTTTTTTTTTTTTTCTCCAAATTTGACTGAAAAATATGTCTTCTACCATATAAGCTGTTAGAAGTTACAGCAGATGACACAAAGATCAGAATTTCTATGTCTCTGTTATTTAATATATTTCTAACTCTTTTTTCTTGGTAGAGGACAGCTTTGGGGCAGTATTGTCCTCAAAATCTTCAAACATATGCATTCACCATTCACCTCTATTTTAATCCAAGATTTCTTGACACAGTCAGCAGGTTGGGGCTGTCAGTAGTGGCTGTAGTCTCACTGGTTCTCTTGAGAGAAGCTACATTTTTGAAGATGTTCAATCTGTTCTGCAGGCAGTTAATGTTTTCTTCTGAGAAATTATTCTAATTATTTTTAACAACTTCATCCTTTCCTTGAAGAGGTTTCCTGACAAAGGCACTGAGATACAGGATGGTTTTCTTTAGAGTGGTTGCAGATTTTCGGACTCTGAAGCTTGCAACACATTCAGCCCTTGGAAAATGTAGCAATACTGACAATAAACACTTTTCATCTTGAAAGAGTTTCTCTTCCTAGGCATCAAGAGACATTTTCTCTGCAGGTACATGAATAATGGTGAGAACAAGTAGCAGATCTGCTCTCTTTTGTGTGACCCTTTTTCTTGGGAAAGCAGGGAAAAGAGGAGTATGAGAACTCAAAGTAGATGTCAAACCTTTTCCAAAGTCCCACTGAGCTGGGACCAGACCCTCCAGTTTGTGAATTGTTTGAGGCTCACAGGCTGGCAGGCTCCAGGGGGAAAAGACCACAAACAGCTGTGAAGGGACCTGGGGGGGATGGATGACCCGGCACTCCCAAGGCTCAGGATAATGCAGCCTGTTTGCTGATGTGGGAATTAAGGAATCCGGCACGCTCGGCCACAGTCAGGCAGTTCCCCAGGGCAGAGCCACAAAAGCAGAAATATGTACACATGGTTTCCATATGTCTCAGTGGAGAAACTTTGATCCTCAGCTGCCACCTCCTTGCAGAACTGCCTGTGCCCTCGTAGCCTGGCACGCTCAGGCTCGCCATTGTTTCTCAGCGCGAGCAGCTCTGTGTCGCAGCTCTGCGGGGACCCCCGACCTCTCTCTGGCCTGTGGCATTTCAGGCTGAGGGATGTTTTCAGATTTGGCCCTCAACAAATATGTTACTGCTTTGCCTCAGAGGTACTCAAAGACAGAGATCAATGCCTGAAGGACATTTTGTGATAGGATATACCATTTCGTTCTAGTGCAGCTGCCATGGAACAGATCTCCAAGGCACTGAAATGCTCAAACCCCCAAGAGTGGAAATTCTCCTTGTGAATTTGGCCCCTGGCTCTGAAATTGTTAGAGGTTTTGGGCTACTGTGGCTGCCTTGGTTATTGGTTGCAGATGACTCAAGCACAGTTCTAAACCACTGCTAATGTTGATCCTGCCAATTATGGAATAAAAGATTCAAGACAAATCCCGTCTGCAGGCGGCAGTTCAGTGTGAATTCAGTGCAAGAGTTTAAAAGAAAGCAATACTTTTCACTGGCTTTAAATTCAATTGAAAAGATGTGGCATTTTATTTTCAAATGAGCTTCTGCTTTTCAAACCCCATGAGCAAAAGCAGCTTAAGGAGAACAAAAGAGCTGAAGAAAACAAACGGCATCTATCTGAGCTTAATCTAATAGCAATGGAGACAAATGTGTAATCATGGCTTTATTCTTACTCATTTATCTATTACCTACCAAAAAAGACACTGCATGTGCTCATTAAACATGCATCACCGTGGCCAGTGAAGAATCCTCCTAATATTGTCCCTACATTTGACATGCAAAAGGGAAGAGTCACCAAAAAGCCTTTAAAATATTCCACGCGAAAGCTCTTGAAACAGTTTTGCCATGAATTCCAATGAACGTAGGTCGAAGCCAGAGCCCACTTTGAGGTGTCAGCAGCGAAGCAGTCGGAGCTGCAGCCCCTCACCTGTGGACGGGTGACTCCTTGTTTCTGCCCTGTTGCAGGAGGTGGGTGAGACCGGCAGGGAGCACAGCAAGCCCTGCCAGCAGCGCTGCCAGGCCCCGAGGTGACACAAAGGATATACCCTGGCTCCGTTATGGAGAGTCGCGTATGCCGTCACAGTCAGCCTCAATGAGCTTGCTTAATTCACAGCCAGGCAGGAATTAGAGCTTATGCCACACCTGCGGTCAAACTCAGTGCTTGTGTAAGTAGGTGCAGCGCCGTTCTGGAGGATGGAGCTAAGCTGACTCGTTTGCGCTGGGCTGTACTTCTGCTAGCAAAGCTGAGCTAAACGTTTAGTATCTGTCTGATGCCGCTGCAGTGCTATGCTTGGGTACGTCCAGCTCACCGTGTGCTATTTTCCTTCTCAGAGGTGATCCGGACAAATGTGACATCTGGGGGAACACGCCTCTCCACCACGCTGCTTGCAACGGTCACATCCACTGCGTTTCTTTTTTGATCAACTTTGGTGCCAATATCTTTGCTCTGGACAATGACCTCCGCACTCCCCTGGAGGTGGCCGCCAGCAGAGACCGCAATGAATGTGTCCGAATCCTGGACAAAGCCGCCACTGAGCAGAACATGCTGAATCCAAAGAAGGTCTCCAAACTCAAAGCGCAGGCCCAGAGGAATGTGGAGAAACAAATCAAGGAATGCGAGAAGCGCCAAGAGAAACACCAGCATGAAATGAACCGGAATTATATGAAAGAAAAGGTTGGCACAGTAAATTCTTCTCAAGGGACACACTCCAGAGCAAAGTTGCCTAGTCTCTTTGCTTCAAATGCAACAAGTCCTTTCTCCAAAAATCTGAAAGATACCTTCAAACTTAAACCAAAAAAGACAGCTGACAGCACAAGAAGCCAGGAAACACAAAGCAATGGCCAAGGGGATGGTACGGGTAGGAGAACTGTGATGCATTTGTTTGATGAGAAAGAGGAGGATGAATTATTGAATGACCTCGGAGAGAAAAACTTTTCTGACAATGACAGTCAGCACTCCATTTTTAAGCGTCCAGGTCTCGGCAAGATTGTATTTGGAAGGAATTTGGCTGCGGATGTGAATCCTGGAACTATGTCTTCTGAGACAGAAAGCATAAGCTTTAAAATGTCCAGCGAGCTCTTTCAGTATGAAAATGCTGAGAATGGCAGGGAAGATGATGCTGAAAATGCTGCTGATATCCCTTGGCATGAAGAAGTTATTTGGGATGACGAGGAAGCAGAGAACACGCCCCTTGAGGTATTTCTGGCATCACAGATGCTGGATGAGTTTCTTCCAGTCTTCATGAGGGAAAAAATTGATTTAGATGCCCTGATGCTATGTTCTGATGAAGATCTACAGAGCATTCAGATGGAGCTCGGGCCAAGAAAGAAAGTCCTGAATGCTGTGACTAAAAGAAAAGAAGCACTCAAGAACCCTGGAAAGACTGTAGATACTCACTTATAAATTAACATACCGCTTGCTGTAACCTGCACACTGATTCATTCTCTTTTCCTCTTTCCAAAGAGCATGCAATTCTTTCCTGCTAAAGCAACGGGCAGAGAGGCTATCAATTGCTTTAGAAAGTACAGCAAGAACAAAGATTTTTCTCTCTGGATGGACGGCCGTGGTGCACAGGATATTAATTCAAGCACATTCTGCCAAAAAGAAAAAGTTAAGGTAAAAAACCAAAAGCTATAGATTTAAACCTCTGCTTCCCCGAACTGTTTATGGGGATTGGATTTCTTCTCATCGGAATAACTTAAAACATTAGTGAAGGCCAGCCACACTACATTCCTTAATAAAGCCCTTCCCTTTGTCTCCAAAACCACAATGCCAAGAGCATTCCCAAAGCCTGAGAGCTTTGAGTTTTCTCCATTCGCTTCTGTTCGATTGCTACAAACCACTCTTCCTGCTACTGATGATATGTTAGAAATAGCATCTGAATCTTGATTTCAGCTATGGCTTATTCAGTCTAATAGCCTCTGAATGAATGTAAACCAGACTAATTTGCAGCAAGTTTCATGTTCTTGTCAGTAAAGTGTTTTGCTACTGTATTGATATTAATTTAAAAATACATGAAATATCTTGCCAGATGTTCAGTGTGTTGTGCATTCTTTTCTTGTCTCATTAGACTGGACCCAGTTGCCAGCACCCATCATGTCCTAAATGGCATCAAGGCTGCAATATTTTTAATTGCAAGAAGCTGAGTTTTTATTTTCAACATTTGTGATCTGTTTTGGTATATGCTCAGCTTCATTCCTGTAGGGTGCGTTTGCCGTGCCAAGTCCCAGAAACCAGGACTCTTATCACCTGGCATTTTCTGTTGGCTGTTGTCAGCCTCAGCCTGAAAACTGGATGTAACACACACCCCCAGCTCATGAAAAGAGAAAGAAAAATGCGACTGTGCTTCTGTGGAAGCTCCTGTTGTTTACAGTCTATCTGGAGGCATTCACAGCGGGGTTCCCTTCATCTCTCTCAGGCCTGTTCCCTTGGGAAGACAGCACTATGCACTGTGAATTAATCACTCCTGTTGAGTTTTGTGACTCTAATAAGGTGCTTGTAGCAGTTTACGCTAAGATCTCAGATTTTACAGGCACAATTATTAGCAGGACTTTTATCTTTAAATTTCTTTTTATAGCTTCCCATTAGTCAGCTATCATTTTTTCCTTAGGAAAAAGGAAATGTCCACTGCATTTGTGGACACTAACCCTAGTTAATAATCTGTTTTTTCACGCTGCCTTCTTTCCACATCTTCTTCTTGTTACTTTGATTTGCATATTATAAATCCTTTTCTTGCCTGGACTTTATACAGCATTCTTTCCTCCTTGGATTCCTGTACTTCAGCAGGTTGATATTTTCTTCTGTTAAGCAGTTAAATCCGTCATGTTCTCTGCAACCTTAGATGACTGCTGCGCTTAGCACAGTAATTAAATCAGACAGTATCCCACCAGACTCTCTCTTATTAACCTGCTGGGTTGTTTTCATTTTAGTTAAGAAACTCCCAAATGTTTAACAAAGCAAGAAGGAAGTGATGAATCTTACGTATTTGAAGGCATATGATGAGTGGATTTTGAAGGGTCAAATCCTATTATTCCCAGTCACATAACTGATGTATTTGCTGGTTCTTTACCTGCCCAAATGCTTATGACCTGATCAAAACATCAGCAAGTGGTGTCACTCACAGAGGACTTGTCTGATAAGTGCCATTATCACAGAGTGGCTTCAGCAGTTGTGTGATGTGCCTCAAGTATCTCTGAAGTGCACTGAAAATCTGCCTCTCTGCATACTCATCTGTAAATCTGCAGGACTGCTGCAACCTCTGACAACCAGAGGTAATGGCATAAACTATCTTCACAGAAACCGATTGACTCAGTTGTCACAAGCATTCAGCGTGTTTTGGTATGTCCCTAGGTACCCACAGTAACTCTACAGAGCCAGCAGGTACAGCACAAGATCTGTCCTTCTGGAATGAAACTGCATACAGAGACTGAATAAGAAGGCCCAAAGTGCCTCACATGTCACTTATTTTTCGGCAACTGAATCAACCCCCATACATATATACACACCTTTCTATATTAAATTAAAAGGAAAAAAAAAAAAAGCGGGGGGGGCGCAATAGCACCAGTCCTTTTCTTGCAGGGTGGTCCTGGAAATTGGCCTCTGGTATAAAGCAGCCATGTGGAACAATTGGGGGGAAAAAATAAAAAGCAGCACTCACATTTCATTTTTTTCCACTTATGTGCTTTGCTGTTTTCCAATTTATTTTTTTTTTTTCTCACCAACCCCTTTGTTTCTTTTATAATTTGAAGTATTTAAATTAGTGAATCCCAGATCTGACTCCTTAGTAACATTTGTACTAAGTTGGAGGCATTTCATGTATCACACCTGCAATCTTATAGCCCAATCCAAACCCAAATCATAAAACCATGGGATCTCACATGATCACAGTCCTGGCAAAAATAAGATTCTCCTTCCTTAAGGATTTAATACTGTGCACTGGGCAGACATCAAGAGGAAGGAACGTGCAGCATGGGATAACGATGGCAAAACTGAGTATCACAGTGGAGCAGAGCAGTACCAATTTGTTTCCCCCTTTACATTCAGTGATCACATTTACTGAGAGAGTAGTCACTATAACAGCTTGAATACTTTCTTCCTCATCTTAAAAAAAAAAAAACACACCAAAAAACAAACCAACCCACAAAAATAAACCACCCAAAAGAAAAGTAATGGACAACAAAATGAAAGTCAGAGAAAACCAGCAGTATCTATTTAATTTTAAAATAAATGCAAGTTACACAATTTCTTGAGACTCTGATTTGTAAAAGAAAGAAACATGGAAATTAAGGCTATTATTTCCCCTCAAAAAACCCTAAAAACGGCATCCAAGCAGCTCCCACTGTAATTGAATCAAATCCTCTTCATTAATTCAGAGGTACAATGCTGAAGACAGACTCCCAGAACCTCCTATTGCCAATGAAAGTTGAGAACACTGTGGGTTTTCAGAACCAGTTTTTTGACCTAGTTCCATCTACTTTTAAAGTGCATAGTCTGTAGAAGAGTACATGTGAAAAATAAGCTCTATTTGTCTTCTTCCCAAATACTATGTCTCACTTCAAATTACAAACCTTGTTTTACACAGGCACAGAACTGAGATAATATTGTCATAAACAGTAAGTGCAAGTGTCCATACAGTTCTTGAATTATAGAACATCGATGGCAGTCACGTTTATCTCACACTAGTGGAGTTCTCCATTGCTGAAGTAACAGTTTAAGTCAACGCATACACTTCAGAAACGAAACAGAAGAAAACACATGTAGAAATAAAAGGATAATTTTACTACAATTAAAAAATACAAAAGCTTATAGAGAAAGTTTGTTCTTCTTTCTGCTGATATAAACAAGGTCATTGGAGTTAGATTTCTATCCACACAAACACATCCTTTAGCCCTATTCACTTACTGGTCTGGTACTCTTCCATGCTAAAACTCTGCAAATTACAAACTCTGCCAATTATGACATTTTCCAACTAGCTTACACAAGGCTTATAACTTGGAGTATTATTTACATCACACTTGCACCATACTCATTAAACTTTTCTATACTTACTCATGTACCATCAAGGGCTTTAAAGCTAACTTCTTCTGAACCTCCTTCCTGTTGCTCTGCTGTATTCTTCTGGCACCAATACAGAACAACCATGTCATCTAATCCTTCCACAGAGAGGAGAAACACTTAATAGCCTGCATGAAATGGTATGTAAATAGAAATAAAATTTCATAAGGCAAAACTCTAGCCTGAAACCAGAATTTGTTTCCAGGGCAATAGCTATTTTTCAGCAGATGCTCAATCTTTTGTAAGGGAGTTGCATAACAGCACAAAACTGGAACTTTTCCTTATGTAGAACATCACTGGGTTCCTCTGCCAAGAAAGGATCATGGAAATTCCTACCCCAGCAAATACCCACTGGGATAAAAGAACAATTACCAATTGATGCAGAGTACAGCCAAGGTGAAAATATTTGCCTGTATACTTGAAGTTTATCCTACTGAAATCAGTTTGCACAGTTCCAGCCTTCAAAGCAGCTTAGAAAATAGAATTTACAAACACATAGATTAATAAAAAATCTCCTCACAGAATACAGATAAAAGTTAAATCAAAACACATTTTTGTGCTCATGTTTTGGGTGACTCCTTGCAATACAGAAGTGGCAATATGCCACCCAGGAATGTACTAAGAGAGGTATTGAGGATAGCTTCCTCCCAGTTAAGATGTATATAATATTAGCTCTGATTTTTTTTGCACTGAGTGTTCCTGACCCAGGTCTTCTTTTACATAAACAGACAAAAATCTAATTGTACAGGCGCATCATTCTTTATATAAACTCCCACTCAGGAGTGTGCTCTTAAATGAAAACCTGTTGAGTCTGAGGGCAGGGAAGGGGGTTGTGGGGGGTGAAAGTAAGGATGGTGCCCTTTAGATCCCAGTCTGAGTTGGAAGGGAAGGGATGTCCAAGAGTCGGAGGTGGGCTGTGTTCCCAGGAGACTGAAGACTAGGTTACTGTCAGTGTAGCACTGAAACCCACAGTTGCATTTAAAGTACTATCACAGGTAAATATGATGCCAGAGTCCATTCTCCAAACTGATGTATTTTACACAAGTATGAACTACCTCTCTAAAAAAGATGAAATCTACCAACAGACTTCTGCTACATAAATAATTAGGGAGGAAAGGCATTGATTCCAGAATTATACCAAAATGTGTAAAAACAGCCTTGTTAGTATCACTTCAAACACCTAATACTTGCCATTACAGGAGATACATTTATTAATAATACTGCAGGTATCTAATATTTGCCATTAGAAAACTAACAGAAATTAGTCTATTGCTGAAATTTTACTTTTCATTCTTGAGTGTTCTAGAAGGCCCACATTCAGATAGGATTGGTGCCTTTCTTGTTAACAA